ACAAACTCACTGAATGAAATTATATTGTTCTAATATAGATAAAACCCAGACAAATAAATCCTTCCACATCTTGAATCAAACCAGAACATAACATGAGTGTCTTTTATTTATTAGATCTACCAGTAAATCAATACACTTGATGTTGGCACAAACTGAGAAGTTGGTACATTTACCTCTGATGGTTTTTAAATGAAAGTAAAAGTCAGTTATTTTATAAGAAATGTTTCTTTGACATTTTCAATGCAAATACAGGAAGTAAATTGTCTCCTTTTAAAGTGTATTTGTACCTACTTACATTATTTACATTATTCAAACTGTTATCCTCATCTTCATCGCCATATTCACAATGTTTCAGCCATTACACACTCCAGTCTTCATCAGGTGATTGAACCAAACAATTCTGGCCTACTCCATAAGCATGTCACTAGAAATGCATACACATTCCCTTTTTAAGTGTGCTGTCTAATTCTGAACTCCTGGCATCTTTCAATGTTTTCCAATGCTTCAAACTTTTCTGGCTTTCATTTTCAGCAAAAAACTTAAAAATCTGTTCCTTTTGTTTTTTTAAGTCATACACAGTGGATGATCCAATGCCATCATACTTACACAAAGTCTTTACAGATGTTCCTTCCTCTAATTCCTTCAGTAATTCCACCTTTTCAAGCAGAGATAAAGATAATGCTTATGCTTCTTACCTCCGGCAGCATCATCTACATCTCCTGATCTCTTGGGTGGCATTCTGAATGGGTAAATATGTAGCTATCTATAAGAAATGAGCAAGACTGTATCACACAAACAATTTGCTGTTGTTGGCTGATTGTGGGTATTTGCAAACAATGTGTCGTACTGCCCTCATAGCCACTCAATGAACTAATGGCAGCTGATTAAAAAAAGCGCTGGATTAAAGAGGTCAGACTGTTAATATATTTTTAGTTTTCTGTTGATGAGACATGCAAACTAAAAAGTGATTTTTGCTTAAGAATTTTTAAAAAGAAATAACTTGTAAAATCTAATTTATCAAAATCCAATTTTTGAAAAAATTAATATATCAAAATCTGATTTATCACAATTTGAATTTTTTTAAATCTTATTTAACAAAAGTTTTGTAAAATTTGGTTTATCGAAATCTAATTTTTTTAAAATCTTAACAAAATCCAATTTTCATAAAGTTTGATTTATCACAATTTGGTTTATCCAAATCTGATTATCAAAATCTGTTTTTTATAAAATATAATAAAATTTGTTTTTTTAAAATTTGACATTTTAAAATTAGATTAAACAAAATCCTTTTTTTTTGTAGAATATAATTTAATAAAATCAGTTATTTTAGAATTTGATTTAACAAAATTTGATTTTTTTAAGAATGTGATTTATCAAAACCTGATTTATCCTAATTTGACTTATTTTTTTATTCTGATTGATCAAAATCTCATGAAGTATTGTGGGTTACAACAGCCAAAACTGAAAAGCACAGCTTCAAATATGACAAATGGTTAGACATTTCCTGCTTTGATGAAGGCATGTACTTAAAACCTCTTGTCTAAAACTGGCAACTTACAGCCGTATCATATTGAAGAAATTTTTGTTTGATCAACAAAGTTAAGCCACATTGAGCCTGGTCAGTACCTAAATGGATGGCAGTTTAGAAATACCAGCTGCAGCAAACTTGGACGTGCAAATGGTATAATGAATAACAGTTTGGAATGAGAAATTGGAGATCCAAGTTCAAATTCCAGTCAGGTTCATAACATTTAGTTACATGCAAATACCCTTGGGAAAGCTAAGAATCTACCTCTTTTCCCTTACCTATGGGTTAAATAGTAGGAATTGTATCTTTAAGTCATTATTATCTTCAAAACCTTCTTAATAAAATCTTATTTAACTCTATATCTAGCAAAAGGACTCTGCACCATGCCACATGAAAATGATCCTGTAGTAATATATATATTTGAATTTTATTTCAATCCTTCATGAGCTTCTAATCCTTAGCTATGATTAATTAATGATGAACATGTCATTTTCATTTATGATTGATTTTATCATGATTCGTCTGTTAAGCTTGGAGAGTAATTATATATTCTTATTGTGCAATGTAGAGTACAATAGTGTTATAAAAGCCTTTAAAAATTCCAGTAAGGTATTTTTAATCATTTCTAATATGCAATAGTTCAAAGCTTAATCTAACAATTGGATGACAATTTTGCTGTTACCCCTGATATATATATATATATATATATATATATATATATATATATATATATATATATATATAGTTTCATGGTATACTATGTTTACAGGTTAAGGTCCTCGGTATCAGGAATAGAGCATATGTAAATATAAAAGTGCACACTGAGGTTAACACCCAGTGGTGACACTCTGTTTCATGTTTAAATGCAATCATCAGGCCATGTGAGTTGTGTTTTGGCTCTTATATTTATATATACTGGTCAGTGGTGTGTTATGGGTAGATCTATTGTATTATTTTAACAGTTGTTTGAGTGGGCAGTAAAAGTTATATGTTTAATTATTCTAGGGTCTATTGAGTGAAAATAATTGTGGATCCAGATGCAGTTTTGTGGATTTATAGTGTTGTTAACTTTTTACTCATTGTTTTTTATTTATTAATTGTTCTTGGTTGTTATTATTATGTTTACTTGTGTTTATGTGTGGGTTCATTGTTTGTTATTTTTTTTATTATTTACTTTATTTACTTATTTATTGATTTGGGTTAATTCATTTTACTTATTTTTTGTACTTATTTTATTTTATTTTTTATTTATTTATTTTTGTTTGTTTTTAAATTTCAATTTTTAAGTAATGTAATAAAAATTTGTTTTCGTACCTGTATTTTTATATGAGTCTTGATCATTTATTTAGTAATTTGTGTTTGGGAAGGTTAATATAACTATTTTCTTCTCCAGACAGAGCTTAGAGTTTATTGTTGTAGACTAATGCAGTTTTCCTTATTTTCTGTGATATTTTTGGTGTAATTTGGTCTTTGTTTTCAATTTCCCAGATATGTTTATAAAGCATTGTGCTGTTTGTGTATTTACTATTTGTAAAGGATATTTTGTGTGCATATTTTCTTTGTTGCCAGGGTCATTAAGTTACTCCTATGTATATTTTTCTTTGTTATCTGCTGAGTATTATATATAGAGAGATGATACATATAAATATTACTTCAAACATTATTATAGTAAATAAGCATATTTGAAATAGACACTCAATTATTATTTTTGTTTTAAACAATATGTATTATAACTATCAGCCTGCACATTCAAGAAATTTTCATGAAGAAAATTAAACCTGCATCCTCCTTTGTAAGAGAAACTACTATCTGATATGGTGTGGTTTACCACTCAGCTATGGAGAGCATCATAGATCAGCATGGAATTTTTTTCCCTTTCCAATGAAAGTATATTCCTCATTCAGATTATTTTTCTTGAAAGTCCATATATGTCCAGTTTCATATCCAAAACGTAAACAAAGCAATTTCTCAAGTATTAATGCATTTATTTTTAATCCAATATTTTTATTACTACAAAAGTTATTATAGTGGACATTTTGTATTTAAAATAGATACCACATTTTTATTTCTGATTTTGCTTTAAATACTGTTTATTATGTTTATTGACCGACACATTTAAGAAATCTTAATAAAAAATGTGCTTTCTCACAGTGATCAAACCTATGTCTCTCTTTGTAATCTGACATGCCTTACTGTTTGGTTACAGAGAGTGTCACAATTTAGCAAGGCTCTGTTTTCCCTTATATATGTGTGTGTATATTCATTTAATAGGAAAGAACATTTAGATTTATGATCCAAAGTTCTTTAGTATTTTTGTTTTTATCTTTAAAAAACAGTGCTCAATACAGAAGTAGAGCTTAAATTATAATTATTTGTTAAAAATATGATTCTATCGCAACACAAAAATTACTGTTTCAAAACTGGTCCACAAGTGTTAAAGTTTAATTTCAATATTAGACCTTAACTTTAGATGAATGTGCCATTCTCGATCGATCTAAAGTTAAGGACTAACATTGAAATTAAACTTTAATACTTGTGGACCAGTTTTGAAACATAGTAATTTCTGTGTCATGATGGAATCATATTTTTTAAAAATAATTATAAAATATATATATATATATATATATATATATATATATAATAATCATTGCTTGTATCCAAGTATGTCTGTCTACTAGTGCAGCTGGGTAATCCTTTTGCGGACACCTACACAGGCACATTTGTGTTTGTTCAACATCCACAGAACCTACCTGTATTTTATGTTTTATACTCCAACTCTGCTGAGCAGACCTTAGTTACAGTTTCTGGGAAAGACCATGTTATTTGGTGAGATCAACAGTCTGAACAAGGCTAGTACGCTCAAAACCTTGTGACTTTGTGGTAACACAACCATCAACAAAAATCTTTCTTAAACTCTCTAATCCTTCCTATCTTCTCAGTTTCATATCCTAATGTAAACAAAGCAATTTCTAAAGAAGTGATGGATTTTTATTTGTTAATCCAACAGATCTTTTTACTTAAACCTTATTTTTAGTGGATACTCATATTTGAGTAAACACTGTGTTTATTTATTAAACAGTATATTTATTTATTTTCATCTACCAGTCTGAATATATGAGAAATCTTATTAAAAGACTTGAATCTGAATCCCTTTTGGCAGGGGAAAACATTAGACATGCTTTAGACCATATCGCCTATGATGTGTGCCAATGATCAAGCAATGTTTAGTAGTGCCTTATATATGGTCAGTGTGTCACTTGTTAATATAAGCAACCTACATCCTCCAAATCCTTTTCATCATATATTTGGTCCACAAAGCTGTTTAATTGGACCAGCATATACAATTCAAAGACGTGTTTTACTTGGTCTTTGTTCAATGAAACACTGTTTTGTCAGGCAGGATATATTGGATATTTATTGTGAGCATCTTTTAAAATGTCTACAATTATACAACACATTGAAACATGATTTCTGTATGATCACTGAAGTTAAGCAACATTGAACCTGGTCAGTACCTAGATGGGTGGTCGCTTGGGAATACCAGGTGCTGCAAGCTTGGATGTGAAGGTGGTGTAATGGATAATAGCTCGGAATTTTTAACTGGAGAGCCAAGTTCCATTTTCATTTGGGTTCGTTATATTCACTTATGCACAAATACCCTTGGGAAAAGTGTGAATCCACCTGTTCTCCACCCACTTATAAGCTATTTAGTAAAACTTGTATCTTTAAAATCATTATACCTATAAAAAAAATTGCGTACAAAATATTTAGATTTTGGTATTAAATAACCCCTAGTGGTGTTGATATGCTGCTAAACAAAAAATAACCAACCATCAATTATATGAGGTGGTGCTGAAAAGTTTTCAGCCTGATGCACTCCCAAAAATCTAACTGAATAACCATGTTCAACCTTCCACTTGTGTGTCATTTAGTGTATAAAAAATTCTGAACTCCTCAAAATATGATGGAACTACTTTCAGGTGCCTCATAAATCATGAATGTCTATTAACAAGCAAAGTAAAATTTTTTTGCAGATTCTTATTTGGGGAGTGGGGTGTCAAAAGAAATGATACTGTTAGTACCACCTGTCTTAACATATAAGACGAGGGGATTGGCATGCAATATTAAAAAAAAATCTTAGAAATCTTAAAGTTACAAGGCTCATAAAAAGTGGATATCATTATTTACTAAGTAGTAGATAGATTCTCCAGGTTTAGACTTCTCCCCAGTCCTTTGAACAGGAGTAGAGCTTTATCACTTGTTTCCTGTTTAGAATTGGGTTTCTGATTTCTTTTCCTAAAGTCTTCTCATTTTCTTTCACCCCCTGTAACCTCTTGTGTGTCTGTTATGGGACCTTACCCATAATAACATAATGGACTATTCCATATGTAATAAATACTGCACCTCAAGAGGAAGCAGAGAGTTTAGTCCGAAGTCGGGCAACCGGCTGATCGGCTGGATCGGGTTGATCGTTGAACTCTCTACCTTCAGGCAGGGAGGAAGTCAAGGAGGCTACGCCAAGGAGGCTGTAGTCAAGGGCGGATTCTTTTCGGGAGGTAAATCCCACCCTGAACCCGGCGATATGGGGTTCAAAGGGCATATTTTGGTCGAGCTCATGGCTCGGAGATCCCACGTTAAACCGGCCTTGTGCCATATGATGCCCTCGTGGTGGGGGGTTGACTAAATACTGTTCAGTCTGAAGTCGGGTGACTGGCTGACCGGCTGATCGGTTGAACTCTCTGCCTTCGGGCAGGGAGGAACCCAAACGAAGCTATGCCAAAGGGTGGAGTCTCTTTTGGGGAGGTAAACCAACCCTGAACCCGTTTATACGGGTTCAAAGGGCATATTTTTGGAAATAATGAAATAATGAAAAAAAAAAAAAGTTTTATGATGTTATTTTAGTATAATACATAATGAATGCAAGTAGTGTAACGGTTATCAGCATGGAAAAAAAAAAAGAAAAAAGAATTAGCGAATTGAGTTCAAGTTCCGGGTGAGTCTTTTGTTGGAATTTCATATTAATGTCCTTGTAAAAAGGCATAAAGACATTATTCTTCCACTCTCACCACCCAGCTGATGGAGTTATGGGTAGACTGATTTCTCAAAATCGGAATTCAAAACTATACAGAAGGCAACGAGAAACCACTACTTTTCCCAAGATGTCATGGCAATTCACAGATGAAAGGAATCTGGAGAGCCGTATTCGCCTATGTCCGAGAGACAGCCCATTATCTTTAACAGACATCTACTCTGATTTTTACTTCAGTAAACTCAATATTATTTTACAATATTACACCATGTACAAGGCCCAAGAGCCACTCGTGGTAGAGGCTTACAGAGTCAGAGGTAAAAGACAGAGTTTATGGGGATATGTGAGGAAGATAACGGTTAACCATAGATTTGAACAGATTAAGATAGTGGTGATCGGAAACGCATCATCTTGGGGGTCGGTTTCACAAAGTAGCAGTTCGTAGGAAGAAGCTACTCGAGTGGAACTTACATCTCAGCAATGGAGTACAAAGAGAATGAGAGTGATTCGCTTCAATGTGCGTGGCATGGCAGGTCTTAGACGCGATGGTTAGAACTGGTGGAACGAAGAAATGTAGTTCGTCTGAGTACTTGCCACGGAAATAGCGAGAGTCTTACAATGTTTCGTTTGTGAGAAAGGGGTTGTGAGGTGGAAAATAATTCGTCACCCACATGGACGTGGAGACTGAAAAGTGAAGAGTGGTCAGTTCCTGCCCATATATAGCAACAGTACGCCATTTTCGGCCTGATCTGGCTCTTGTAAAGGTAGAGAATAGCAAGAGGAATCAGGTACTTACTGAAGCGGTACAGAGAACAGACCATTTTTCCAGCATCTTTAGCAATGGGTTATGTATACGAGTCCCACTTGAGGTCTAGGATGAACTGAAGTCACAATAGGCGCTCAAAGCGCGGGAAATTCTTGAGAAAATATCCGTTCATCGTGACAGACGAAAATTCAGGGTCCGCTCCTTGGTTAAATAGACAGATTCAAATTATAGCGGACACTTTATTATGTCATATTCTATTAATTAATCAGTTTCAGACACAAATAAAATGGCCTTTATAATTTGTTCTCAATTACTTGGCATACGTGATATACACCATACAATCTAGTTAACTTATAATTTATAGAGAAAGATAAACAAAATTACACAGCATTTAAAACATATATCAAATTATTAATCTGCATAGTTTCAGCTTTTAGGCACTATAATTACTAAGTTTTAGAAACCCTTTCAAGTAACATATTTTTCAAGTTACACATGAAGTAGACAATTTTTCTAGCCATAATCTATATTACATATTTAAATCATATATATCTTACATATTCATAAGTCTACCATTTGTCCTTGCTTTGAATATTGCTGCCACATCTGGTCTGATGCTGTTGCTATATATTTAGAGAGCCTTGATGCAATCCAAAGAAGAAACTGCAATGTTATTATTCCTGACCTGGCATCTCAGCTTCAGTCACTTTCCCAGCGTTGTAACGTAGCTTCCCTGTGCCTTTTCTATAAATACTTTCATGGTAATTATTCTGATGAACTTTCCTCTATGGAAGCGCAGTACTAGTTTGGCAGAAAGGTCTCATCATTTTATAGTTGAAATGGCTAGATGTAACTGTAAGATCTATGTTAACAGTTTCTTTTCTCGCACTTGTCGTTTGTGGAACTATATTCCGAGTTCTGTCAGCTTTGTCTTCTCGCCTTAATAGTATATTTTTCTCATAAGAGTAATCCCTTGCGTCTTAGTAGCTTTATTGACTTGCTTAGGATGAAATGATTAATACGCACAGACACACATATATATAGGATTAATATGAGTAAATGTTTGTCACTTAGCTGATTGATGTTACCTACTCGTGTGTGTGTGTGTGTTCAGTATTTGTTAGCAACTGTTTTTGCAAACCTGTCTGATTAAGAATATAAACATTTTATGCCTCTTAAATTTATTGATCATTTCATAACTTTTTACAAATATGGCTATTGCAAATATAAAAAAGGAAAGTGAAAATTTGTATTATGTACAAAATTCCGACTCGTATGATTTAATGTCAGTGGAGGGAGAAAGTAGAGAGAAGAAAAAAATTAAATGTATTTTAAACACTGCATCGTTTCAAAAGTGTGATTTCGTTTTATATTATTTTATTTCATTTATTTATTTTTGAAGAAAGAATTCAATTCAGACTCATGTGAGTCGAAAGTTTGGACCTAATTCAGATTTTGGCAATTTCTTTACATCTCAAACAGCCACATTTACGAAAAGTTATTTGTATACGAGAAAAAATATCAATAAAGTTGATAAATAAAATGCCTATTGTTTATTGTTTCACACATACACCGTCACAACTGCTCTTCACAATACATTGGGTAAACTTGCAGAAAGGTAAAAAACGTATCTATAAACCCAAAAGGATCTTATACACAACACTTTCCCAAATATACAGGATACAAACTCCTATATTTCACGACCAATAAGTGAAGTACAAGCAAGTAAGAGACGCCTACAAATAAATCTTACTAAATTTAGTAGATATGAAAAACTTGTTTACAATTCTGTACAAACACGGCTCCAAATTAAATAAATGGTTTCTGGAACTTGGTTGGATATGGTAAGTCATGTGATGTGCTTTTTACTGCATCCACGCAGTTGAACTCCAAATAACCTGAATAACGTTTAGGGCTTGGGTTACTGAGTACATACCCGCTCAAAACTCAGATAGTGATTCGGGGCCGACTCAAAGCGATAAAAACGGTTCGCGTGCAACAAACAAAAGCAGTTAGTGAAAGACAGTCAGTGAAGGGCAGTCGGCGAAAGACAGCAAACCAGACCATGCCTCGATTAACAGCTTAGACACACGTTAACATGACAACGCGTCAGTCAGCGATGATTTTTCTACATACAACGCAACGATGAAAGTAAATCCCCTCACTTTATTCAGTGTGTTTTATAATTACTGCTATCGCATGCAATCCGTCAGCAGTCACACACATGTATCGTTAGCGTGTGCTCCACACACCCACATATTGGCGTACCATAACACTTGATTTCCTCACTTGCAACAAAAACACTTTTGCAGACTCACTTGCGACAAATCACTTCGAACAATCGAACTATTGGTCTCTTCATGGCCACATCAAAGAACATTGATTTTTAATATGTAAATACATGTATTTGACTGTATAAATGTTACTGTCATATTTCGCTTGATCTTCCTTTTCTGCGGTGATCATTTCACGTTGTATGAAAAATTGTGTTGTATCTGTGGACACGACAATCGGATTTTACTTTTCCTCCTAAAATCTGGGTAAATTGACCCTACAAATGCATTAATTATACATAAAAATAAATTCAACTACAACTTTTATCTAAAGAATGCCACACTTATTAAATGAGAAAGTAACTTACTCAGAAAGAAAATTTCCAAGAGTGTCGCTATTAAATATTATCAAAATATAAATCTGCGCCCCGGAATTTTTTTAAAATAGCTCCGTTCCTGAAAGAATTACTCCTATCCCAAGCCAACA